CCGCACTCCGCCCCGAGGCGGGTCAGGGGAAATACCCTCCCCCGGGGACTTTCGGAACCTGGGTGTCGGACCTGCCAGCACGTTCCCAGAACCCTGGCGTCCACCCCCACCCTAACGCGGTCCCGGCACCACCGCCTGCCTCCCCCACCGGCGGTGCCTCGGGACCCAGGCGTGCGGAGCACCAGTCCCACACCTCTTTTTTCCGGAGCCTGCCAGCCCTGTGCCCGGGTCTTGGCTCTCACGGAACCCCGACATAGCCGGCCATCCCCACCCGGCTCTGACCGCACAGACAGGCAATCTCGGCACAAAGAGGAGACAGCCCAAGGTCCGGGCCGGGGACGGGAGAGGAGACACCCCCTCCCCAAGGCGGAAGCCCCTCAGTCAACTCACATGCCGCGGGGCTCCCAGGGGAGGGGGTGCGAAGGAGCCTGACGTCCGGAGAGAGGAGAGAGGAAGAGGAGGAGAGAGGGATCGAGGGAGATCCGGAGACAGGAGGGAGGGGAGGAGGGAGGGAGAGGAGGACGTAAAGAGGGAGCCAAGGAGGAGGGACGGAGACAGAGACCAGGGGACCGGGCGGGGGGAGACGGCCGCTTTGTCTGAGGACAATGGGGAGAGGGAAGGGGTCGCGGGGCGGAGCCGGGCGAGGGGGCGGAGCCTCGCTCCCTCCGACCCCGCGTGGGACTCGGCTCCGGGTCTTCTCTCTTCCCGCCGCCAGCCCTGGCTCTCCGCCGTCTGTCCCCAGGGCTTCTCACCCGGCTCCCGGATAACCCAGGTGTCCAGACCTCCGCCCCCAGCTCGCCAACCCAGGGCGGCGGCCCGTGACTCAGGCCCCTCGAGGGACTTGGGGAGGAAGCGGCAGCTGCTCCGAGCCGGGCCCGCCCTTCCCATCTCCTGCCGCTCCTCCCCACGCATTTGCCTTCCCGGGCCAGCCTTTGTTACCGTGGGGGCCGGGGCGGCCGCCGGGCTGCGGGGGACCCATAGGGAGGGGGCGGCAGCAGGAGCGGCGCTCGGAAGCCAACGGTTTTGGAAGCTAGCTCCCTTACCCGAGCTGCTGCCCCACTCTTCCGCTTCAACCTATCTGCCGAAGGTCCCCAGGTCTGCAGCAAGGAAATTGGGGGATTTGGAGGAAGGGAGACCGGGTGCTCCGGGAAGGGGGGGGGCGGTCCGCGGGGAGTGGCCGCCACCCAGCGGTCATCAGAGGGCACGGCCGATGCCCAGACTCGAGTCTGGCTCGCCTGTCCTTCCCAGAGGCAGCCCTGCAGCTTGAGAGACACTGACAGACTGCATGCTACACGTAGAAAAACCAGGCTGAATTTTATTTTCCTGTAGCGCGAGTTAACTTGGGAGAGCAGGGAGCCCTTAGTCACCCGAATTAAGAGCAGGAGAATCTGCTCGACTAGGTTCATGAGTCTGGAGCCCAGGGGCAGGGCCTAGGGAGCTGGAAAGGGCAGACAGTGGGGCTGGGCTGCAGCTGCAAGGTGTGGAGCCTGATGGGGCAGCCACTATCGTCAAACTTGCAGACCTTGGTCCAGCTCCTAGGAGGGGAGCTAGACGTGAAGAAGATCCTTGAGGCGCAGAGGCCAGAAATAGGACCAGGGGAGTGGTCAGGCCAGACCCTTCTACTTGTGAGGAGGTTGTTAATGGAGGGTCAAGCCCTAAACTCTGAGGAGACAGATAAGTTCCCCACTCCCTCTTCCTGGCTGGTGAGAAGTGGCCCTTGGAGTCCAATGGCTGAAACTCAGAATTTAAGATATGGAGCTGGACCCAAGGAGTGGAGGCTCAAGCAAGGGAAGGGACAGCTCCTTCAGTCCATGGATTTGGGCCTCTGGTCTGAAGCAGCCAAGGCCTGGATGTTAAGGGGATTTGGAATTGGAGGGGAAAAGGAAGTACAGGGCTTGGAAGGAGGGTTAGCCCCTCACTCGGCCTCCCCGTCCTGGGTCCGGGAGAGCAGGTGGAGTTTTCTTTGCAGCTGGGCCCGGAGGTAGCGGAGATCTTGCTGGTCAAGTCCGTGAGCCAGGCCCAGGTAGAGGGTAAGGAGGAGAGCAAGGAGGAGGCGGTCAGTGCCCAGGGTGGGCACCACCCATAGCACAGTCAGCAGCTCCACACACACTGGGTGGCGCAGGTGGGAGAAGAGTCTCAGAGCCCGGGGAGACTTCAGGGCCAGAGGCTCGCCCAGCCCCAGCACATGGTAGTACACCTAAGAGAGGGAGAATGGCTTAGAAATGGAGTCAAGCCCTTGTCGCAACTTAGCTGCCTCTTTCCTCCCCTTCCAGGCACCCTCCTTCTATAACGCAGGCCCAGGAACCACCCTTCTGAGACTGGGGTCCCTGACCCTCATCTCTGGTCCATGAAACTTCCCCAGGCCCAGGAAGCCCATGGTTTCTGGCCTTTGAGGGAGGGCTAAGGGGAGACTATCTTACAAGAAAGGGAGGTGAGGGAGTCAAAAGCAAGAGGCAGGTGGAAGAGTAGGGGAGGAGGAGGGACATCCTTGGAGGGGAAAGAGGTATTCTAGAAAGGATCAGAGGTCTTGGGTAGGGATCTGGGAGCCTCACCTGTTTGAGGCCCATGAGTTCTGCGTAGTCAAAGACGAGAAGGATGCTGAAGATGAGGAGCCAGGAAATGACGTGGAGCACAAAGCAGAGGAGGGGCACCCAAGTGGCCCATGGCTCGGCCCGAGCCTCCCACAACACGGGGCCCCTGGGCACAGGCTCCCAGTACCGCATCACCAGCTGAAGGAGGATGAGGGACTGGGTATCCCAGCAGCCCACCCTTGAAAGACCTAGACCCAGAGGCTGCCCCCATCCCAGGCTGGCCTGCTGCTCTCCCCGCCTCTACCATGAGCATGTTCAACATGTGGAGGGTGCTGGGTGGGATCCCAAGTATGTAAGAATGACTTGTCTCTACTCTGAGGACTTAAAGAATGGATGAGAGTCACCAGATAGGTATACAAAGTAGCCTAGGCCAAGCACCCACTGAGAAACAGATGAGTACTAACTGGGAAGCTTTCTCTTGTGACCTAGGGAAGTGCTTTTGAAGAAAGGATGGGACTGAAGAGGAGTTAACAAGGGAATCTCAAGCAGGACAATGTGAACAAAGTTGCAACGGTGAGAATGCACATATCATGCTTGGGGAATGACAAGCAGTACACCATTCTTGATAAGAAGTAGGATATGTGCTGTGGAGGAATGGGAGCTGAGATTACAGTCCTGAACACCCTTAGTTCTCCTCCTAAACCCATGTTTTATCAGAAGCCTAAGGTCCTTGCCTCTCCAGTCGACGGAATCCTTCCCACAGACTGTTTCCCTTGAGGACTCAGCTGCCAGGGCTTCATACCTGCAAGGCCAGGGCAGTGCATGCCACGTACAGTGACCTCTGAAGGACCCCAAAGTACCGGGACATCCATGACTTCACTGTCTCAGTTGCCATGAGGCTGTGCTGCCCCACAAATAGTAGCAGGAGCCCCAGATCCCAAGCCAGGGGGACAAGAATGCTTTGGTCCTGCAGGGCAGCCAGCCATCCCTGGCGGGCATCTAGCGGGAGTTGGAGAAAGGGACAAAAGATCAAGAAGACTGTGGGAAAAACTCCCTACTCTTATCTCCTCTTGGGACCCCAGGCCATGTCCCTTAATGCTTTCAAGAGCCTTAATGCTTCCTCTCTAGGCTTTGCCCACCTCACTTTTCTATTCCCTGTTTCTTCCCTCTTCCCCAGGCTTCCTTCAGAGCTGGGGAAGAGGATTCATGCTGGTCAGTCACGAAAGGCATGGCTGAAGTGCCCTTCTTGTTTCGGTTCTCCAAATGCTCCCTCTTTATAACACCCTCCATAGTCCTCTTTACTAAGCCTTTCCTTTGAATACTCTGCTCATTGCCCTCTCTCCCCCTCAGTCCTCACTCTCCCGCCTCTCCAAACCGCTAATCCCTGAGTTGCTAATTTAGCCCTCTGGTGTCCCCTGCAGCGTCTCGGCGGCTTTCACGGTTCTAGTTCCCTCTCCTGGACTTCCCCTGTCATTTGTCTCCAAGCCCCGCCCCCGCTCCCTCTGCTCCGGCTCCACCTCCCTACCCCAGAGCTCATCCTCGGTCCCTCCCGCTCACCCGGACCACCAGACTCCGAGATTCCTCCAAGAAGTGGCCGAAGGGAGGTAAAGCGCACGAACTCCACTCCAGTGCCAAAGGCCAGGATGAAAGAGGCGAGGGCAGCAGGGACGAGGAGCAGTGCAGGGGCCATGGCGAGAAATGGAGGGGTGGGGAAAGGGGCGGGTTTGGGATTCCCGCGGCCGCAGGCTCCGCCCCGACCCCGCCTCCCGCCTGGGACCCTGCCCAGGAGGGCGGGGCTCCCGCGCGCCGACGCCCAGGCTTCCGGCCGGCGCGCGCGGCTCTCTCTCACAGAGCTTCAGGGCCGATCCCTGAGAGCCTTTCCGCGGTCTGCGATCTCCGCGTCGCAGAAGAGAATGTTAGAATCCCAAGTGAGAGGTGAGCGGCTGTTCAGTCAATCACGTGGTTTGAATCGCAGCTGGGCTAGTTTTCGCATCTAAAATGAAGACAGTTCCTCTCTTGCAGGGTTCTTGCAGAACCGGCATAATGATCCCACTTTCCTTTAACAGCTTTGACTAGAAAACAGCCAGAGTCAGGTTACAAAGCCTCAGCTAACACTTCAATAATAAACGGTGAGAGAACGGAAGACTGTTGACCCAGGCTGAGAACCCAAAGCTCTGAATCATCCATTACAGCTTGTTAGATAAAAAAGAGTGACTATTTTACCACAAATTAACGCTTAGTCTGTAATTTATTATAAAGTTGATTTGTTGCCTCTCCACTTGCTAAGGGGAGAGAACTTGTCTGTAACACTGAAAGATTTGTTCTATTAATGCCAAAGGCTGTTACTTTGTAACCATGAGAGTAACAAAATGTTAAAATATTTTTGATAGAAAACTTTATTACAGTTGTAAACTTTGTAGTATGTTAATTTTACCCAAGCTTGTGATAATTAACTACCTATACAACCTCATTAGTTTGACTCCTTCCCTACAGACCTGTTTGTAATACCTACAGACTAACATTCACATCTAAAAATCAAAGTAAAGTAAGGTTTTTCTCCATTAAAGATCATGTAGCTAAGGACCTGGTCACAGTAGCTATGACCATAGTAAGGAACTTAGAGATCATGAAGCTAATTCCCTCAGCTAATAGATAGAAGAAATATAGGCCTAAAGAGATCAAGAAAATTTCCCAAGATAAGAATTAAGGAGCTGCTAGTCCTGTGGGCTCAGGGATGACAAAATTGCCAAACAGCATCCCACAGGCTCTACATTCCTTCTCCCTCCCGGAGGCTTAGTATTCCTTCTCCTCTGAATCAGTGCTATTTTATACTGTACCAGACATCATTATGTTTTCCCTCCTGATTCACTCTCCATCCTGCTTTCTGCCTCAGGAAGTTGTCCTGAATGGACTACATCAAAGAAAATCACAGCATTTGAGGGAAGCCTTTCTATGTAACTGTTCCCTCCTCTCAACCTTTTGGGTTTACAGGTGGCCACAACAGAGCTGTGTGTACTGGCAATATTCTTTGTGATTTCTCTACACTCTGCCTACTTATAATTTTCACTTCATTAAACTCTCTCCAAATTATCCTAATTTGACTGTGCCATAGTTTCCTCTTAGGATCCTGACAGAGACATTTATTACACAATGTGCTATGAGCTGTAGGATTCATTGGAAGTGTAAGAAAAGATCTCTCTTCTCTAGAAATTTAAATTGGGGCACTTAAATTGTACCAGTCATGAAGTGGGTGTGCACATGAGTGCTAAGTGGGGCTATAGAGACAGCAGGTGCTGTAAGGAATCCAGTGGACCTCAAGGACACAGGCAGCTTCACAAAGTACAAGACTTTGAGCAGTGCAAGGGGACTAATATTAATCTGGGTCCTACTGTGTGCCACACCCACTATGGCTATGCTTAATATTGTGAGATTAGGTATGTCTAAAAGCCAGCACAGTGTTTGGCAAAGCTCATGCTGTTTCTACTACACCAAAGTTTTCCAAACTTAAGTATAACTTACCTGCAGAAAAGTGCCCAAAACTAATCAGTATTTTTTTAAATTGAAGTGAAATTCACATAACATGAAATTAACCACTTTAAAGAGAACAGTCCAGTGTCATTTAGTACATTCATAATGTGTGCGACCACCACCTCTGTCTAGTTCCAAAGCATTTTCTCTTCACCCCAAAATAAAACCCTGTACCCATTAAGCGGTCATTCCCCATTTTCTGTCCCTGCCAACCACCTGGCAACCACCATCTACTGTCTCTATGGATTTACCTATTCTGTGTATTTCCTACAGGTGGAGTCATACAATGTGACCTTTTGTGTCTGGCTTCTTTTACTTAGCATAATGCTTTTGAGATTCATCTTCAAAACACCGTAGCACAATCATCCCCTTTTATGGCTGAATAATATTCCATTGTATGGATAGGCCACAACTTGTTTATCCATTCATCTGCTGATGAACATTTGTGGTGTTTTCATCTTTTGGCTCTTGTGAAAGTGTTGATATGAACATTTGTATACAAGTATTTGTTTGAACATCTGTTTTAATTCTTTTGGCCATGCACCTATGAGTAGAATTGCTGCGTCATATGGTAATTCTATAATTAACTTTTTGAGAAACTGTAAAACTGCTTATCAAAGTGGATGAATCATTTTACATTCCCATGAGCAGTGTAGATGGGTTCCAATTTCTCTACATCCTTGTAATCAACCAACTTCTAAAATTTACAAAATAAAACTGTACTACACCATAAGGCACATAGTGAATATTTATTTATCACAGAGGTTAAGCCAAAGCTAACTTTATAAATACTGGAAAAGCAGGCCAGAAAAAAAAAAAAAAAAAGGCAGAGATTTGCTCAACGTCAAAGCTAAAGGATGCTTCTAACGAGATGGGGCAAGGAGAGGGGAAAATATTTTAGTAGCATTCCATAACTCCACCCTCAAATTTACTCACTCCAAGCATTCTTTCAAGTTCTGGACACTAAAATTGTTTCCACTATCTTTTGCAGGATGAGTAAGAATCCCAATAAGAAAAGAAGAAGAGAAACAAATGGTTTCCAAACAGGAAGCAGGACACTGTGCGTGCCACAGAGCAATAAGCACATCAGTCCAGCTAAATATGAGCAGCAACTTAAGATATCTGAGCATGGGATTGGCCAACTTTAAATGGCCATTTAAGAAAATCTGTGGCTCCCAATCTCCCTGTCTTTGTTTACCAACAAGCTTTTCAGCCCCAGCCATGTTCCAAGACAAATCAGATCAGTACACCCCAATCCTTTCTAAGTTCTTTCTTCCAAATATTTCTACCACTTTATATATTGGTCTGGGAGGAAAAGCATACTGGGGTGGGGTTTTCAGGTGGATGACATTTCCAAAGTGGAGAGGACAAAGGCCTCTGGCTTGGCTTCCTGCTTTAGTACTCCTGTGAGCAGGAACTCAGGTGAGAGGATGGGCAGCCCAACCCGAAATGGAATGGCACATCGAGGGAAGTCCTGGGAACATGTTATCACAACTCTCTGAGGCTGGAAGAAAGACAGAGAAAACAGAAAGTCAGGGGTGAAAAAGAATCCTAGAAATAGGTTCGGGACCCACTAATCAGTCTTAGCAGCACAAAAACAGTACCTCCTGACGGGAAGCCATATGACACACACTGTCTATGAAGAACTCTTGCCACAAAAGTTGAACCCGAATTTGTTCAACCTTTTAAAGTTAACTACGATTTACAGGAAATATAAAAGATAGAAAAACAAGATAAATGACACAACAAGGGAGCAAACAGAAAAATCCAGACTGTGGAACATTGTAAAGGACAAGTGACCTAGTTTCTACAGGAAGTCAATGGCAGGAAAAAGGCTAGGTGGGTTGGGGGGTATGCTCTAGAGTAAAAGAAAATTAAGAGACACAGCGCAATTGTGGGGATACATGGACCTTGTTTGAGTCCTGATTTGAACTCGAGAAATTTGATTAATGGAGTAAGATGAAGTGACCAGGAAACAATTGTTAATTTTGTTATTGACCAATAACAGCATGTGATTATGTAAGAAATGTACATATTTCTTAGAGATGTATATTTTAAGTATGTAAGAAAAAATAATAATGACCTTTGCAGTTTCCCTTAAAAATTTCAGCAAAGAAAATGAAAGAAAAAGGCGGAAAAAAAGGGATAGTGCAAATGCAGCAAAATCTAAATTAACCTGTTGAATCTGAGTGATTGGTATATGGAGGTTCGCTACATATTCCCTCTCCCTTTGTGTATATTTCAAAAAAAATTGTAAATACAAAAATAAAAATAAGTCCATTTGGTATCAGCAGACCTCTTCCTTCTCTATCCCTCTCTATACCAGAGATCTTCCCCCAGCCTCTCACTACTCCGTGTTCCCATCTGTACCTCCATTTTCCCTCTAACCTGTTCCCATTCCAGCCACCTCTCTAACTGCCACCTCACCAGATCCTGAACACACCACCCCTACCTTATAGGACCGGGGCATGCTGGGTAGGACGGTGCCTCCACAGCAGCTGATGATCTCTCCCATCTGAGGTGGTGGTGGCTGGACTCCTGGGGTCACGTGAATCTCATAGCCCTAGGAGGAAGAGAATGGTGGAGACAGTAGATGAGGCACTGAGAGGCCGTGGACCGCTGGGCAAGAGCTGAAGTGTGGGGCAGAAGATGGCCTCTCACCTCCAGCAGCCTTCGCTCCCGAGCCCGGCTCAGGGCCTCCCGAAGGCTGAAGCCAAAATTCTTCTCCTGCTCAGGATCAGTCACCACATATTCAGCCGGGGGCAAGAAGCAACCTGCCTTGTGGGACTAAGGACGGTAACAGTCAGTATCAAAGCTCAGCCCAGCCCTTCACCCAGCTCTTCTTTCTAGTGTTTACAGGGAGCTCACGAAATGTTTTCAGAATTAAGCCTTCTGCCTCACTAACCTCGTCTTCCTGTACCCACGTTCCTCCCACCACTTTCTAGAGACCCATGTGAGCAGCCTTCTCCCGCCACCATCTCTACGGGTCTGTCATCATCTCCTGGCCTCTCACCTGGTGCAGCCAGTCCAGGGAGAGGATGGGGATGCCCCGCCCCAGAGCACACAGGAACTTGACTGTCCGGCAGATCCGATCTGTCACCAGGTGGGAAGCCTCAGCCACTGAGCTGGCCAGACTGCCCCCCAGGGCCAGCACTGCCCGCTCTCCATGAGCATCCACCACACCTGTGAAGAGCACCTGTGAAGGGGGTTAGCCTGAGCTGGTCACGGCAACCAGCGCCATCGGCACCCGTCTCCCAAATCCCCTGGGTCTCCTCCCATCCTACTACATCTCCATCTCCCACAAAGCCCCAGGGCTCTTCTCTCCTACTTTGGGGGCCGTGGACTCTTGGAGAGGTTTGGTCCGTCGCAGGCTGCGGCTTATTTCCCGGGGCTCCTCCTCTGTCTGCTCTCTCTTTCTCTTGCCTGGTCCTGGAACCACTACATCCTGGGATTGAGAGAGAACTTGGTGGGAGTTTCCAAGCCCCCAAGCTCTTTCCAAACTAGGTGACTCCAGCCCCCTCCTCACCTCTTCCTTCCTCAGCTTCGCTGCAGGATTTTCTTCTTCCTTAAGGAATGCTGTCTTCTGGGGAACTTCTCCTCTTTGGAGCCGTTTTTGAAGTGGAGGTGAGTCCGCAGTAGCTAAAGGCCTCTTGCGATTTTGAGAGGCCTCAGGCTGGGGCTCTGGGGTGAAGCCAGATCTATCTGCTGCCTCCCCCTTTAGGATCTGGGGAGCACGAGTGGGTGCCTCGGGAAGCTGGGCAAAGGCAGGCTCAGGAATGGTGCTAAGGGACTCGGCTGCTCTCACTGCCCCTCGTCTCTGGTTCCTTGAGGACTGGGAGTTAGGTTCGGAGGGTGCAGAGTAGGGTTCATGAACGTGAGCTGTGAGAGACCCATGTTTCCTCGTGGCCCTTGGCCTCCTGCTGCAATTGGCTTCAGGGATGGGCTCAGGGGGAACAGGCTCTCCTGTGGGGACTGGAGACTGGGATTCAGGGGTGGTAGGAACTGGCACAGCACTTACTGTAGAAGACCTTAGTGTCCTGCTCTGACCACCCTGAGCTATGACTTTGTGGGTGACAGGCTGCTCTGTGGGGGACGAAGGTTCAAGGTCAGGAGCTGTGGGTTCAGTTGGTTGGGATGTCTTGATAGAGGGTCTTTGTGTCCTGCCCCGAGTGGCCTGAGATGTGGGCTCAGGGGTGAGAGACTGGTCTTTAGAGGTGGAAGGCTGGGGCTCAGGAGTTATGGGGACAACTGGTTCAGGGGTCTTAGCAGATGACCTAAGTGTCCTGCCCTGAGGGGCCCGAGATGTGGGTTTGGGGGTGACAGGCTGGTCTGTGTGGGCAGAAGGCTGGAGCTCAGGGGCTGTGGGGACATTTCGTTCAGGGGTTTTGACAGAGGACCTAAGTGTCCTGCCCCGAGTGGCCCGAGATGTGGGTTTGGGGATGACAGGCTGGTCTGTGGGAGTGGAAGGCTGGGGCTCAGGGGCTGTGGCGATAACTGGTTTGGGAGTCTTGACAGAAGCCCTCTGTGTCCTGCCCCGAGTGGCCTGAGATGTGGGTTTGGGGGTGACAGGCTGGTCTGTGGGAGTGGAAGGCTGGGGTGCAGGGGCTGTGGCGATAACTGGTTCGGGAGTCTTGACAGAAGCCCTCTGTGTCCTGCCCCGAGTGGCCTGAGATGTGGGTTTGGGGGTGACAGGCTGGTCTGTGGGAGTGGAAGGCTGGGGTTCAGGGGCTGTGGCGATAACTGGTTCGGGAGCCTTGACAGAAGCCCTCTGTGTCCTGCCCCGAGTGGCCTGAGATGTGGGTTTGGGGGTGACAGGCTGGTCTGTGTGGGCAGAAGGCTGGAGCTCCTGTGCTGTGGGGACATTTCGTTCAGGGGTTTTGACAGAGGACCTAAGTGTCCTGCCCCGAGTGGCCCGAGATGTGGGTTTGGGGGTGACAGGCTGGTCTGTGTGGGCAGAAGGCTGGAGCTCAGGGGCTGTGGGGACATTTCGTTCAGGGGTTTTGACAGAGGACCTAAGTGTCCTGCCCCGAGTGGCCCGAGATGTGGGTTTGGGGGTGACAGGCTGGTCTGTGGAAGTGAAAGGCTGGGGCACAGGGGCTGTGGTGATAATTGGTTCGGGGGCCTTGACAGAAGCCCTCTGTGTCCTGCCCCGAGTGGCCCGAGATGTGGGTTTGGGGATGACAGGCTGGTCTGTGGGAGTGGAAGGCTGGGGCGCAGGGGCTGTGGCGATAACTGGTTCGGGAGCCTTGACAGAAGCCCTCTGTGTCCTGCCCCGAGTGGCCCGAGATGTGGGTTTGGGGATGACAGGCTGGTCTGTGGGAGTGGAAGGCTGGGGCTCAGGGGCTGTGGCGATAACTGGTTTGGGAGCCTTGACAGAAGCCCTCTGTGTCCTGCCCCGAGTGGCCTGAGATGTGGGTTTGGGGGTGACAGGCTGGTCTGTGTGGGCAGAAGGCTGGAGCTCAGGGGCTGTGGGGACATTTCGTTCAGGGGTTTTGACAGAGGACCTAAGTGTCCTGCCCCGAGTGGCCCGAGATGTGGGTTTGGGGGTGACAGGCTGGTCTGTGGGAGTGGAAGGCTGGGGCTCAGGGGCTGTGGAGATAACTGGTTCCGGAGCCTTGACAGAAGCCCTCTGTGTCTTGTCCCGAGTGGCCTGTGATGTGGGCACCCATGTTTCCTCGTGGCCCTTGGCCTCCTGCTGCAATTGGCTTCAGGGATGGGCTCAGGGGGAACAGGCTCTCCTGTGGGGACTGGAGACTGGGATTCAGGGGTGGTAGGAACTGGCACAGCACTTACTGTAGAAGACCTTAGTGTCCTGCTCTGACCACCCTGAGCTATGACTTTGTGGGTGACAGGCTGCTCTGTGGGGGACGAAGGTTCAAGGTCAGGAGCTGTGGGTTCAGTTGGTTGGGATGTCTTGATAGAGGGTCTTTGTGTCCTGCCCCGAGTGGCCTGAGATGTGGGCTCAGGGGTGAGAGACTGGTCTTTAGAGGTGGAAGGCTGGGGCTCAGGAGTTATGGGGACAACTGGTTCAGGGGTCTTAGCAGATGACCTAAGTGTCCTGCCCTGAGGGGCCCGAGATGTGGGTTTGGGGGTGACAGGCTGGTCTGTGTGGGCAGAAGGCTGGAGCTCAGGGGCTGTGGGGACATTTCGTTCAGGGGTTTTGACAGAGGACCTAAGTGTCCTGCCCCGAGTGGCCCGAGATGTGGGCTTGGGGGTGACAAGCTGGTCTGTGGAGGCGGTAGGGTGGGGCTCAAGGGGTACAGAAGAAACTGGAGAGGACCCTTGGGGCTTGACTTTGGGTTTTGGGTGAAGAGAGTCCAGCTCTGAGGAAAAGGGAGTCTCCAGAGCTTCCTGACTCTCATTTTGTCTGGTCCTGGGAATGGGCGGTTCTAAAGGAGGTGGAGAGGGCGAAAGGAGGGACTGAGGGGCAGGATGTTTCTGGCTCTGAGAGATGAGGGGGTTTTGAAGAGGCGCTGAAGCCTCCTGCAGTGCAGGAGGCCAACAAGCATCTGGGGATTCCTGATCACCCTGGGGAGAAATGGAAGCCAGTGAGGGAGGAAGAGACAGAGAGAAGAGAGACAGGACTTGGATACTGTTCTTGATCCTTGTTTATAGAGTGTACTCATGGCATTTCTCTTTCTGTCTGTTCCATTAGACTGGGAATTTCCTCTTTCCCAAAGACCTCTCCCCAAAATGCCAGTATAGTATTCCCCATATATGGATGATGCTAATAAAGAGGACTGTTAGGAGAAAGAGGAAAGGGACTTGAAAAAAGGAGCTTTCTGAGTCAGGGAGGGGGAGACAGAACTTGGGGAACAGATATGGAAAACAACAGGTGTCAAAGTAAACGGATAGAAGCCAACTAAGGAGCCAACTAAGAAGCCAACTAAGGAGCAGTGAAAATGGAAGAAAAGTTAAACATATGGGGAAAGGAGTAGATGAAAGCAAGGTCAGGGGAAGGGGCAATGGAGGAGATGCAGAGATGACCTGTGGAGTGGGGAGGTGGGTACAGAAAGCAGCTCTCACCCTGGAAGCCTTCTCAGCAGGTGGCATCTTGCAATTCAAGTAGCCTAGACAGAAGGGAAAGACAAGTAGCTGAGGTCTAAGCAGTCAGTCACTTAGGGGTTGATTATCATGAGGGCTGTGTACCACCTTAGGCTCCCCTCTACCTTCACTTACCTCTCTGCTGCCTCCTGGGGCTCACTGGGGCATCCCTTCCTCCTCCTGACTGGCTCCCAGAAGCTATGGGGTCTGAAGCAAGTCCCTGAAGGTCTCCCACCCCCACTCCAGGCTCTGGTGTTGAACCTGAGCCCTGGCCTTTTTGGTCCTGGCCCCCCGCCTCTGTCTCCCCTGTCTGTGGGCCTCTGTCCAGCATCACTTTGGGTACCTTCCCTTGTAACCCACCTGTCTCACACTCTCTCTCTGCTACTGGTTTCTCTGCTTCTCTGTCAAATATTTCTCTTGTAAGAGTCTGCTTTTCTCTCTCTTTCTCTTGTATTTCCTCGGGTGTCTCAATTTCTACCTTCAAACTCTCCATATCCCTTTCAGTACTTGCACTTTTTACTTTTTTGTCAGACTCTTGTTTCTGAGTATCTCTAGCTAACACCTGTTTTTGTTCTCTGTCCTGTATCCCCCTGGTTGATTCTTCCTCTCCCATCACATCTTCCCTCTCTCCTTCCAAGGGCAGCTTCTCAGTTTCCCTCTCCAATGGCCCTCTCTCAGGGGTCACCCTCTCTGCTGTCTCTCTTGGTGTACCCATGTCTTCCTCCATAGTCTGCATCCCTCTGCCTTGAATCTCCAGTGGCTCTGCATGAACTGGACTCTCTGGATGTTGCTCTTGTGGTGCTGCCATAGGTGGAGAGGGGCAACATGCATGGGCTTCAATGTGGGTGGCAATGGGCTGGGTCTCAGAGGCTTCCGACTCTCTTGGACAGAATGGCTGTGTAGCCAAGACCTCCCATGGCTCATCCAAGGAACCTGAAAGCAGAGAGAGAGAGAGAGAGAGAGAGAGAGAGAGAGAGAGAGAGAGAGGAATGTAGGTTGAAAAGGTAATAGCTTGAGAAAAGATGAAGACAAATTCATGCATAATAAATTTAAATGGGTTATTAAAGGAAAGCTGGGAGTAAGGAAGATAGTCATAACATTTAACATTTGTCTCAAAAAGTAAGCCCAAGGCTTCCCTGGTGGCGCAGTGGTTGAGAGTCCACCTGCCGATGCAGGGGACATGGGTTCGTGCCCGGTCCGGGAAGATCCCACATGCCGCGGAGCGGCTGGGCCCGTGAGCCATGGCTGCTGAGCCTGCGCGTCCGGAGCCTGTGCTCCGCAACGGGACAGACCACAACAGTGAGAGGCCCGCGGAAAAAAAAAAAAAAAAAAAAAGTAAGCCCAAACCTTCATATAAAAGCTCTCTCAGTAGCCTCTTAAAAACTTATGCTAGACTAGTTGCTCTATGGGTCTGACTTAATATGGCATTTTTTTTCTGATGAGATGGAGGAACATCAGCAAAATGTCAAGGAATATAAAAGAAACGTGTAGAGGGGGAAATAAGGATGCCAAGTTAGGGACACAGAGGAGGGGAGAGTTTCTTATACCTGTGGCCTGCAAGCTGCAATGGGAAGGGCCAGGCTCTTGGGGCAGAGTAAACAGAAAGGCCTGGGTGGGTTCATCCTCCATGCTGGGGACTGTTGCACAAGAAAGCATGGCCTGAGCACTGCTCCACAGAACTCCAGGGTCCCATTCTTAGTTTCCCACCCTGACTGTCCCAGCTTTCACACACTTCAAGGACTACCAGTCTGGTCTCCAAGCTTCTGTTTGTACCAGTATCCACATGACAAAGATGTCCTCACCTTCCACCTTCTGATTCTCTCTCTCCACAAAGCACTGGGTAGCTTGCAGGTCCAGATCTTCAGAATCTGGTGGGGGAGGAATATAGGATAATTAAAAAATCACAGCTGACCCTTAACTCCTTCCTTTTTCTCTACTATTCTCTCCTCAGCCCCAACACCATGCAATAGACTGAATCTCTGTGTCTCCCCCAAAATTATTACATTGAAACCTAATTTCCAATGTGAGGGTATTAGGAGGTGGGGCTTCTGGGAGGTGATTAGGTCATGAGGGTGGAGCCCGTGTGAATGGGATCAGTGCCCTTATAAAAGAGACTCCAGAGAGCTTCCTTGGGCCCTTCTGCCACGTGAGGACATAGTGAGAAGATGGCTGCCTATGAAGAAGGAAGCGGGGCCTCACCAGACACTGAATCTGCTGGTATCTTGGACTCCCCAGGCTTTAGAACTGTGAAAAATAAACTTCTGTTGTTTATAAGCTACCCAGTCTATGGTATTTTGTTATAGCAGCTCAAATGAACTAAGATACCCTAGAAGCATTCTTTATTGTAGGGGTTAAGGGAGGAAGAAAGGCCAGCACTAACCATCGTGGTTGTCTCCAGAGTCCACGGTCCTATCCACATGTGGTTCTCTCTCCCTTTCTGTGGGGGTCTGGGCCCCCCGTCTCTGTGGCTGGGTGGGTTCCCCTGGAGTGCCTGTGTCTACCACCAGATCTGCTATGTTATTCCTTGAGACAGGGAGAAGGTCCTGCTCCACTTGGGCCGCGGGTGACCCACCCTGGGCCCCAGCCATAAAAGCCCTGCCCTGTTCAAGAACGGCTACAGCCCACTCTGTCCCAGTATCTTCTTCTGCCTGAAGCTGGCTCTTTCTTACATCTGCCACTGCTGAGGCTGCTAAGGATGTGTTCTCCTCCGCATCTGGGTCACGGTCCCCAGCTAGAGGAGGCCGGGCTTCTAAATACACCACAGGCAGCTTTGCTGGGCCTCCTTCAGCTTCCACATCTGTTTGATGTGTCCATTCTACAGGTACTTGATGCTTCTCCAGAAGTATAACAGCTGGCCCTGGTGGGACTTCCTCCACCACTTGTGTGTTGATATGCACTGTGGCACAGGCTTGGCTTCTCTCCAGGTAGAACCCTGGTGAGCTCTTCTCTTCCGTCACCTCTGTATCACTGTCCCTGAGAGGAGGTTGACTCTTTTCTGAATATGCCTTGCCCGTGTGACCCCTGGGAACAGTTCCTGTCTTCTTCACTGGGAGCCCCTTTTCCTTCACGTCTGTGTCACTGTCTCTCCCAGCAGAGGCTTGGCTTTGCTCCAGAAGGGCCATCGGTTGGGCCCTATCGTCTTCTGCATCTGGATCTCTGTTCCACGCAACGGCCCGGCTCTCTCTTAGATGTGCCAGCGTGAGCGCTGCTGAGACTTCTTCCTTGTCATCTGTATTGCTATCGATCACGACGGAGGCTCGGCTTTTGTCCAGAGGGACGGTCAGGGGGGCCTCCCCCTCCTCTATATCTGTATCACTACCAGCCGGGCTCTCCTGCTGATGTGCCACGCCAGGTGCCCGAGGACTCTCTGTACCAACTTCATGGAAGATGTACCTCTTCCTCACAGGAACTACAGCTGGGGTCGCAGGGATCCCCTCTTCTTCCACATCAGTATCACTGTCTATGAAGCCACAAGGCTGGGCCCTTTCCAGATGGACCCCAGTGAGCCTTCTCAGAGGCCCGCTCTCATCATCCACATCTGTGTCACTGTCCTCCCCAGCAGGCTGGCTCCTCTCCAGAATCACTCCAACTGGAACCACCCTACTCCTCGCGTTCCTCTCAACTTTCATGTCATTGTTCTTCTCCTTCACTGAACACTGATCCTTTTCAAGCTGGATTTCAGTTGTGACAGGTTTAGGCTGTTCTGTCTCTGCAGTGGTGACTCTTCTGGCAGCTGAGGAGCCCTCCCCTGCTCCTGGTTGCTGACTTTCTTCCTCATCTGTGTCACTGTTCAAGTTGAAGGCAAAAGGTGGCCCAGGGCCATCCAGGGCAGAGGAAGGTCCCTCTTCATCACTGTGAAGGGAAGAGAAGAGAGAGTCTATAGAATCTATTTCCCCAGAAGGGATACCCCACTCAACTAGGAGCTCCTTGAGGGCAGACATGAGGTAGTATTTTCTTTTCTATCTCCAGCAGTTAGTTTTCTACTTGGCACATCAGAGGTGCTCAATAAAAATTCAGTTGATTGAACGAGTATGTGTAGTTCAGTTGATTGAACGAGTATGTGTAGTATCGTAGAGATGGATCCTCCAGCCCCTAATTCCTCCTCCTTTTGAAGACTCAGGTGTCTGGTCCTTTGGCACTCACCTCTCTGGAACTACTGTTGCCAAAAAGGAGGTCCTTGGTCCTTTCACCACACACTTTTCAGAAAGAGAATCTGTCAGTTGTAGAAAGGAGTAAGTTGACAGTTTTACACTCACAATTCCCATCTCCTCACCCGCCCTCCCAATACACAAACTTACCTACTTCTTCCTCTGAGTCCTCAGCCAACAGAAGCCTGTGGGGTTGAGTTCCTCCCTGTACCCTGGGTGTCTCCTCTACAGTTAGAGGGCCCCGGGAGACAAAGGGCAGAGGGACATCCAAGCGATGGTACTGGCAGGGCAAGTCAGCAAAGAGAATCAACTCCCGGTCCCTCAAACGATGACTCACCCCAGGGCCCAGGACCTTAGGAGGCCTCAGGATTTGAGTACCATTGAGGCTTCCACAATCCTGGAGGACAGGCGCCTTGTCCCAGGCCAAGATTTCAATCACCGCATGTTGTTTGGAGATAGATGAATAGGGCAGGGCCACAGAGCAATCAGGCATTCGGCCTACCACATTCTTCCCGAGGTATAGTGGGAAATCTAAGAATTAGAGAGGTAGATGCGTTCCAAGGCCAGAGTCCTGACCTTGTATTAGGAAAATGTTCCTGTTAAGTACCTCACTACTCACTCAAGGTCCCCCCATGCATTAGAAAAATAAAAGGCCCCGGGATAACTAGCTAATAAAGAATATATGCAATGCATTATTCATAATCAATACCCCATCCATCCACACTGGATTATTTTCTATTGTGGTAAAACATACATAAAATTTACCATTCAGCCAACTTTTCAGTGTACAGTTCAGTGACATTAAGTACATTCACATTGTTGTGCAAAACATCACCACCACCCATTTCCAGACCTCACTGGATTTTTATCTGAATCCCTTCATCTTCTCCTACCAAAGTAAAAGCACCCCCATTGAGTCCAGGGCACCTGCCTGGAGCAATCAGATCAATCAGCCCCCTCTTCTCCATTCCCAGTAAAACCTTTTTTCAGATCTCCCAGATGCGTATCTAAGCTTGCAACCCTCCAATTACCTCGCCACAGAAATAAGAGGCCTAAAAAAAAAAAAGAAAAAAGAAATACCAGTACTTGAGTACCCAATAACCCCTGACCTTTTTCTGGTCCATAGGAACTACTGAAGATACGCAGTCGCCCGAGGGGCTCCAAGCTACACCCCAAAGATTCACTGGGTCTCTCTTCAATCTCTTCCTCTTGTTCAACTTCCCAGTTAATAACCTGGGTGTCTTCCATGATCTGAGAAAAAAACACATTATTATCACCTCTTTCAGTGGGTCACACACATAGCCTCAGAGAGGAGACTGCTAACTGCTGTAAACCTGGATAGCTATGGAGGCTGATGCTTCCCTTTCTGCCAATCATTCTGTTGTTATTCTTCTGAAGCATTTAGGAAATATCTTTGACCATGATACGGAATAAGAAATAAATATTGTAGAGTCCCCAGTACAGAAATATATATAAAAACACATGCTTGGGACTTCCTTGGTGGTCCAGTGGTAAAGAATCTGCCTCCCAATGCAGGGGACTCAGGTTTGATCCCTGATCAGGGAACTAAGATCCCACATGTCACGGGGCAACTAAACCCATGTGCCACAACTACTAAGCTCGTGCGCCTCAACTAGAGAGTCTGCGTGCCACAAACTACAGAACCCACGTGCACTGGAGCCTGCGTGCCACAACTAGAGAAGAGAAAACCCGCACACTACAACTAGAGAGAAGCCCCCGCACTGCAATGAAAGATCCCGCGTGCTGCAACTAAGACCTGACACAGCCAAAAATAAATAAATAATAATAAATAAATAAATCTTAAAAAAACCAAAAAACAAAAAAAAACCCATATGCTTATTTATAGACAAATGTCTTGAGAAACAATGTTAAGCCTTTATACAACACACTGATAGTTGTCATTCTGTTTTTTTCTTTTCTCAATTCTTTAAACGCCGATTTGCAATCCACTAAATTGATTTCACTATCCACTATTGGGATAACTTTTGCCAAACACCAACTATGTAACAGGCATAGTAGCCATGAGGCAGGCGTTTAGGACACTAAGGCTAAAAATATTCAATCAGGATAACATAGCAGGTAAATGAAAAGGGTAGGAATAAATGTGCTTCTGGCTGCAAAGCCCATGCTTTTTACACTTTATCAGATCATCTCAGTGTGATCAGACTAAACTGCAAAAAATCATAACAGCCAAAAGAGAGGCTTGGTAGGTGTCAAGCACTGCTCTAATTACTTTATATTCACTGATTTATTTAATTATCACAAGAACCCTGTAAACTATTATTACTTTTTTTTTGGTTGTTTTCCTTTTGGACACGCAGCATGGCCTGTGGGATCTTAGTTCCCCGACCAGGGATCGAACCCCTGGCCCCTGCAGTGGAAGCACGGAGTCCTAACCACTGGACCGCCAGGGAATTCCTTATTATTACTTTCTATTTCTCAGATAAAGAAACTGCAATACAGATGGATTAAGGAATTTGTCCAGGACCACCCAGATAATGTCTCTCCTCTGTTTAATATTCTTTGATGGATTTCCATGCCCATAGGATAAAATAAAATCTAAACTCCTTAGCAAGACCCTCCACAACCAGAACCTCATATCCTCAAATGTATGTCCCACCCGCACCTCACCCAAGCCTATGATTCAGCCACATGGACCTTCTCCGCAGTCTCTGAACACATTGCTCCCTCTCATCTGCAGGCCTTAGCCAGCTCCTTAGCCCTTTGCTCATAGTTTTCTGGTCCAAATCCTACCCATCCTTTACAATTCAGTTCAAATATCACTACCTCAGCAAAGCCTTGCCTGGAGTCTTCTCTGCTTTCTGGTGTTCCCCATGTTCCTAAGTGTTTCACAGTGGTTGGTGGACTTGTAGTTATCCTGATAGCTCTCACCATAGTGTAACTATTACATTCCATTTCTGCCTCACACCCCCCGCCCCCCCCATCCTCAAATGTATGTCCCACCCGCACCTCACCCAAGCCTATGATTCAGCCACATGGACCTTCTCCGCAGTCTCTGAACACATTGCTCCCTCTCATCTGCAGGCCTTAGCCAGCTCCTTAGCCCTTTGCTCATAGTTTTCTGGTCCAAATCCTACCCATCCTTTACAATTCAGTTCAAATATCACTACCTCAGCAAAGCCTTGCCTGGAGTCTTCTCTGCTTTCTGGTGTTCCCCATGTTCCTAAGTGTTTCACAGTGGTTGGTGGACTTGTACTTATCCTGATAGCTCTCCCCATAGTGTAACTATTACACTCCATTTCTGCCCCCCCCCCCCCGCCCCCCCCCCCCGAGAACTGGACCAGGCAGAAGAACTGTGTCTTTTCCCCAAGGGTCCATCATATATTCAACAGTTATTGTGCACCTGGTACCGCTGTAAGTATTCGGGATACATTCCTGAACCAAAAGTAAAATTAACTCTGCCCTCCTGATTAAAGAACAAATAAGATGAAAACTCAAAACAGTATGAAAGATGCTACTCTAAACGGAAACTGTTGACAGGTTGGGAAAGTAGGACACCTCCATGGAGATAGTGTTAACTCCGTTCTTATGACTGGCGAACTCAGGGGGTACCCATGACCCTCGTCTCCAATCCAT